CCACAGCTTTCTGTCTATTACTTTCACTAGACTCTTCTGGCACTGCTCTTGATCTTAAACAAAATTCTTTTTCTCTTAATTCTACATGAGCTACATTATCTGGACCCTATTAGGATACTGAAAATGTACCTCAAAGGTTAAGTTATTTTCAGGTACATAATATTTTTAACATTAAAACTATAATCTATAAGCCTAGAGCACAAAGAACCGAAAACTATTGCAAAATAGCTCCTAAAACCAAGAAGATTGTATTTAACAATATAAACCATAATCTATAAAACTGCAACACAATGAAATTAAAAGAAAATATTCCACAAAGGTATCCCTGTACCAGCTTTTGTCTGAATTCCATTGCAGTAAGACAAAGCTTAGCTACTAGTGAGTGACGTAGGGTTTCAGATCTTCTAAAAGGAAGTTTACCACGTGCTTGCCCAATCTTCCAGCATGGTTGCATAATACGGTTGAAATAACCTTGATCCAAATGGACCTGTAAACTGTACAGTGTAGTAGGACATGCCTAATTGTTTCTATCTCATTAGTAACACATGGGCAGAGATGCTAATGGAATTTTAGCTACCTGCCTTGCAGCAATGCAGAAGGGAGGATATTATGTCTATCTTTAAAGAATGTCTTTCTCACCTTGCGGAAGGCCAGAGTATGTAAATATTATTTTAAAATGCTTGATGTTAACTTGATTGGCACTTTAGTAGTGACTGGATTGGCACATTTTTTACTGGATTAGTACATAAGAGAATTCATAAGGCTAACCCTGATGAACCTAATAACCACGTGTTTCCCTGGAAGTATGCTTATCACACTTAGGTGTCTAGCAACATACACATACTCATTTTTATTTACAATTGGAGTGACAGGCTGAGCCCACAAGATGAAAAGCTGGAAGTTTCAAAGCCTGCATACTCAAGCCCTGATTCCTGCCTTGGTTTTGCTGCTTGATAATCCCAGGGGCATGCTTTTACATGGCAGCCTATGCTCCTTACTGGGAAGTAAACAGAAAAAAGTAAAGGATAAAAGATAAAAGTTACAAATGAAATACTGTATATCCTATAACACCACCTCCTCTCCTTGTATATTGAAGAATGTGACTACAGAATTCAGCTCCCCCTCCAGGAGATAGATCAATCTCACCAGGCAACAATAGAATCAAACTTTATCTTTAAAAAAAGGAAATAAAAATGTGTAAAAAAAATCCCTTTTCATCTTTAAATAATCCCAATGGCAAAGACACTAAAAATATAGAGCTGCTAAAATTACAGGCATCAGTTGAAAAGACTCTCCTATAGAATGACTGTAATGGTCATCAGAAAGCTCTGGACTGGGTAATATCACTCTGTCCTTAATTAAGAGGAACTGGGCTATAAATAGAATAAATAGTTAAATAGAAACATACAGTTTACTGAGCAGGTATGGAAAACATGAATATGAGCGATAATAAATCCATAGAGGATCAATGATTAAATTTAAGACATAATTTCTAGCTGGACTGTTAGCTTTTTTGTCAGAATGACCTGGTACTTAATGCTAAAGTCAGACCTGAACAGCCCAATTTTACAAAAAAACGCCCTGCTTAGAACTGCCTATATCCTCAGATGCTACCTTAATAATTTGTAGTTCCTTGGTTAGGACTGACTTAACTTATTTAAAGCTAAAGTCACCTGCTTGCTTCCCTCTACTGTTTTCCACTTTTTGTAGATTTGCTTCTATCTGCGCCTCAGAGGGACATAACTTCCTTCGTCAGTTCAGTGGTCATTCTTAACTTGGTTCCCTCCTTTGAAGATAGTTAAAGAATAACTTTATGAAAAATGGGAACTATTTTAATACTTATTCTAATAATTTATATACCTGCCCATCTCACAATAGTGACTTTAAGCAGCAAACACAAACACAATATAAAAAATAAACATATGCACAACATCTAAAACTCACTCCACTTCTAATCCAAAGAATAGAACTTAACAAATCAAGCAACAGGGCTCACTTAACCTCCCAGCCCAAAAGCCCAGACACAACCAGCAATTTAATCCCTTGCAAAGGGCCAAGGGGATCAAAGCCATCCAGGTCTCTGGGAGGATATTGTTCTATAGGGTAGGCAGTGCATCAAAGAAGGCAGTGACACCTAGGTTCCACAGGTTCGCACTGCCTAATAGATGGCAGGCAAATCAATTGGTAGGCCATTGATTAAGCATCTCTTTTCACTCACATAATTAAAAAAAATTACCCAAAGACTGGTACTATTCTATAACTATTGCAATCTTGATTGTGATTGTAGTGACATAGCTTGACCCATAGGGTGAAGAAAAGCTGGAGGCTTCACACTTCCTCCCCAGAAGCCTACTGGTTCTACACACTCTAGCCTTCCCATTCAAGGGGGGAGAGGTTAGAACATTTCATCACTGGTAAGATCAGGATATTTCATCTTTAGATCACGATGAAAGTTAGTTATTGTGGTTATGGACTATTTAGACCAATCCCCACACAGAACAGAGTAAAACAAGAATGTATTCTGGCACTGCTTATGTTCAACAAATTGATGAATTCATCAGATTATAGGCCAAGTGATACTCCTCTTCCCAGATCCCACCTGGAGTGATCTCTGAGGACCAGGATACTCTGTGGATATTGCACAGCAAACAATTACTTCTTGCTAACAACTAAACAATTACTATCTAACCTGATGGGCTTAATTTCTACTTATTCCAATGTATGAAATAGTTTTTCCATATTTAGTAAAGGTCATGGGGCAACATACATTTGGAGAAGAGAAAGAATGTTTATTTCTTTAATGAAAAGTTGACCACAGGAATCATGAGTATGCCAAGAAAGTAGAATAAAGAAATAATGGCTAAAGTAGCATTTAGCAAGTTTTGATACCACATACCAATTTTTAAGCCCTGTGTACTTAAGCATTAACATTTAACTTCGGTCTAATTCCATGATCCAAAATATGTATAGGCATACCCACTTAAGAGCACAGCTGTCGAAGAGAAACTGGGAAGGATGGTATATTCTTTTTACAGTGTTTGCTGCAAAAAGTTCCTTGCAGAATCTGTGTACAGAGAGCTTTTGCCTTATGCTGTTAAGGGGGAAAAATCCCTGCAGGGCTCTAACTTAAAGTGTTATCAAAAAAAGTTCTGTACAGTGCTTTCTCTCTAAATTAGGCCTCTGCCCTTAGCCAGAGCGTTAGCCGTTAGTTAGCAGAGAATTCCATGAATGTTGCTGACAATCACAAGTGCACATTCTTTCCCAGGTAATTGCATTACTGTCCCTTTTCTTAGAAAGCTAGTCTTTAATCATGAGTGATACAATTCTCATTTACAAGGATTTCCTGACAAATGGAATGGTGGAAGTGCTAATTTCACATGCTTAGACCAGATCTAGTAGATAGACCATATCCCAAGTTACTGCATGCAGCTGATATTGCAATTTTATTTATCAATAAGAGTGGAATTATGAGGAAGCTTAGGGCTCTTGCATTATATTGGAAAAAGCTGAAACTAAATACAAATTATAATGAGACAATTATGATTTGTCCCAAAAACTCTGAGTTACATTGACATATCTGGGTGATGGTTTGGATAAACATAGAACAAGTTTGATTCAATAGATATTTAGGCATTTTCTTCCAAGCACTAGTTACTTGGACCAAACAGATAAGAATCATGACTGATTATGCTCATAAGAGGTCCAGAGTTATTCGAAGTTTCTCACCAAATATTGACCTGCTGCCCTTAGGATTTTTTAAAGTTAAAAATCAAAATTTCTCGAAGCAACTTTCCACGTCCCTTACTGGGCAGCAGACGCTTTGCTGCAGTTGGCATCTGAAAGGTCTTCATTTGAGGCAAGCACTAGGATTTGTCCTTAGAATTGCTGCTGTAAGCTTGTCTTTGTAGACAATCCATAGCCACTTGTGTTCCTCTTGGAGAAAGAACATTTTAAAATGTCTTTAGCGAGAAAATCAACAGGATGAGACTGTTTTCATAAAGCCCATTTCCTGATTCCTAGGCCTGAGTCAGAGGGAGCTTTT